TAAGAATATAATCCATAACTTAGATAATGGCATGCAAGAGATCTTGTTTTATTTATCTTTGCTATAGCTAAAAATAATCTTATGTTTCTTACAGGACATATTATAATGATTTATCATATCAAAGAAAAGTTTCTTTGGTAGAAATGCATTACGAATTCCTCATAGAATAGCAACAGTTACTGTTAATTAATATTTATTGAGCTCTTTATATGTGCTAGTTGCTGAGTATCTCACTTAGTTTTCATCAAAACTGGGGGAGAAGGGAAATTTCTCCTCTTTTTCCTTTTAGTTCTTCTGGCTGATGTAATAACCAGATTGACATTAGACAAATTAACAGGACAAAAATAATGACACTTAATTACATATGTACATGCAGGGGTTCTGTAAGAAAACGGGGCATTTGAGGCTTATATGCTACGTTTAGTTAAGGAGAAAGAGGGGTAGTAGTCTGGTCTTTGAAGGAAAGGTAAGCAATTCACAGGTGGATGAGAAAAAGCAAACATTTTGTAAACCAATTTTGGGGGGGCCACTCAGAAACAATAGGACACAGGGGCGCATCTAACAGTCAGTCTTGATAGGTTCTTCCCAGAACCTATCAAGGTTTAACATGCCCCACCCAGTTCATGTTAAACCATAGTCTTGGAGGGGGGCCCTCTATCTACATTCTTTTAGGCACTTTGAGGGGAAGTCAGAGGTTCTTCCTCAGCATTTTTTTTTCTTAAAAAAAATCTAACATAAAATAATATTCCCAAAAAGACATATTTTGGAGGGACAAATGCTACTTTTCCCCACAGCCATCAAGATCCTCATTTTATAATGAGCCAGGTGAGGAGGCCAGAGAGGTAAGAAGGCGTGCCCCACAGTAGGTGAGTGGTGAGGCTGGGATTTGAATCCAGCAGCCCGACTAAATCTGAATGAGGTGAGGCAGGCACTCACCTTCTCTGAGTCTTTCTTAGAGCCATGAAGTAAATAGTGGTAATAATTGCAGTAAAGTCATTGTTTACACTTCGAAACTAAAGAAAGGATTTGGAAGGTGGGTCACTTAGACCAGAGTCACTATCCCAAGTTTCTACTGTTGAAATTACAAAAAAAAAAAAAGGATTATTTCCACATGACTGCATTTTGAGTTTCAGGATATTAAGTAAAAGCCCTTTGCCTTCCTGTATTTCTAGCTCAGCCTGAAACAGCTACACAAACTCTGGTGCAAGATATTTTTTTTTCATATCATTCAATCTTTTTTAAATCATTTCAGTTTGGAGCTAAGAATTAGCTTAAATCTAAGTTTAATCACCACAAGATCTATGCCATCTATTGCAAAAGAGATGGGTAAAAAATAACACTTCATTCAATCATATTGACTGATTAACCTACCATTAGCAAATATTTTACTATTTGGAGGTGTTGATTTTTTAAAAATTTTCCCTTAGGTTATTTAATGTTTAGCTGCCCTCCCCCCCCCCCAATTTCTTATGCAACTACTGTGTTAGTCACTTTACCCCATTATTTCTAGTCTTTATAGTAGCTCTATAAAGCAGGTGGTAGTTGCAATAGTAGCAGTAGTAGTATTATACTGATGAAAAACCTCTAACTTAGAAAAAGTAATTACTATGTTCAGGGTCACTTAGTAAGTGGTGGAAACTTGATAAAAACTTTTCTCTCTGGCTCCCAAGTCACTACCCTCTGTACCACTCTGCTCCTGTATTGTAATGAACCTGTAGCAAATATTTACAGATGTCCTTCCTTCTTTCTCTTCTTTGCTGGCAATATTCCATGACTTCCACAAAAAGAAAAAATCCTAAGTCTCAGCCCTCATTTACTGAGTATGATTTTTTGAACTGTGATGTATGTATGTCAATAAATTGAACATGCCTCTTTAGCACTTCCACAAAAATATTTCCCACATAGTGACATATTTTGCTGTGTTTAATGCTCGTTTTTTTGCCCAAATTTTTGAGGGAAAAATAAGGATGCACATTATGTATGGGTATAATGAGTATATACCATAGGTATAATAATGGGTATAATAATCCCATGTATAATGCACACAAAACATTGGTGTTCATTATACATGGAAAAATATGGTATTTATTTCTATTAAAATAATTAGGAGAACCATGGCTTTCTTTAGAAAAGCAATGAAAATTTGTGAACTTTCATAGACATTCCATAAAAGATATTGCAAACGATGTTACATGGAATGTAATGACATACTATTGTCCTACATAAATCATATTATCAATTACAAAAATTCTTTCCGAAATCATCTAGGACCCTTAAGAGGTGAAATGTAATTACACTCCCCTTAAATCTGAGCAGTCTTGTGACCTTCTTATAACCAAAATAATGTGGCAAAAAGTAATGATGAACCAATATTGTTACATTAGGATTAACTACAATTTATAATTTACATAGGGTTCACTCTTTGTATTTGTATAATATGTAGGTTTGACAAATGATAATGCATGTATCCACTACCACAATATTACAAAATAATTTAATTACCCTAAAAATGTCCTGCAACTCCTCCAACTCCTGGCAACAACTCATCTTTTTGCTATCTGCTTAGTTTTGCCATTTTCAGAATGTTACATAGTTGAAATCATACAGTTTGGAGCCTTTTCAGAGTGGCTCCTTTCAGTCAGCAATATGCATTTCAGATTCCTCATGTTTTGATACTTCATTTCTTTTTACTGGTGAATAATAAATATTCCATTGTGTGTCTGTACCACAGTTTGTTTATCTGCTCACCTACTGAGGGACATCTTGGTTGCTTCCAAATTCTGGATATGAATAAAAGTGATATAACCTTTTGTGTGCAAGGTTTTGTGTAGATTTAACTTTTCAATTCATTTGAGTAAATACTTAGCAGTGTGATGGCTGAATTGTACAATGACTTCAATTTTGTAAGAAACTGTCAAACTGTCTTTCCAAATGGCTGTGCCATTTTACATCCTGTGAGTAATGAGTTCCTGTTGCTCCAGATGAAATGAATTTTAGCCATTCTACCAGGTGTGTAGTAATATCTCATTGTTGTTTTAATTTATGATCCCCTAATGACATATGATATTGAGTATTCTTTTTTATGTTTATCTTCCATCTGAGTATCTTTGGTGAAGTGGCTGTCCAGGTGCTTTGCTCATTTTTTTAAAAAGGTTATTTGCTTTCTTATTTTTAAATTGTGAGTGCTTTTTGTGTATGTTAGATACTAGCCCTTTATCAAATATGTATTCTCCCAAATATTTTCTCCCAGTTTGTGGCTTGTCTTCTCATTCTCTTTACAGTGTCTTTTACAGAGCAAAATTTTTTTGTTTTATTGAAATCTAACAATTTTTCATGGATCATGGAGAGCTATGTTATTTTTATCTTCTAAAATGTCTTTATATCACTACTTACTACTCTCCTATCCAATTGTGTATCCACTTATTTATCCTTGTGTCTGAAATTTAGTCAGGAGTCTCTCAAGCAGTTTTGGGTAAAATAAGTAGTTTAGCACCTTTGCAGGTTATCAGACAGGGTTATCAGTAGGGTTTTAGCAAAAACAAAACAAAACAAAACAAAACAAAACAAAAATCCTGGCACACCAGGCTGAAACTTTTGATGATGGTTTTCATTAAGGCAGCGGCCTCCCCAACCTTTTTGGCACCAGGCACCGGCTTTGTAGAAGACAATTTTTCCATAGACCAGAGTGGGTTCGTGGATGGTTTCAGGATGATTCAAGTGCATTACATTTATTGTGTACTTTATTTCTATTATTATTACATTGTAATAGATAATTAATTATACAACACACCACATGCTAGGGTTAGCGCGTGGGCTTACCAAAACTGTGGCTGACACAAGTGTGCAGTGTGGGAAGGAAGCACGGACTGAAGCCGTAAATAAAATAACGGGCGGGCCACAAGTGGACTAAAATAGTCAGATTCTGACTGAAAGCCTGCCACCGGATGCAGCTTAATTGTTACTTGCCTAACTGACGGGATTTCAATATGCCTGCAAGCAATTGATTTATTATGGTCTCTGTGCAGTCAAACCCCTCTGCTAAGGATGATCTGTATTTGCAGCCACTCCCCAGTATTAGCATCACTGCCTCAGCTCCACCTCAGATCGGGCATTAGAGTCTCATAAGGTGTGTGCTACCGAGATCCCTCGCATGTGTAGTTCACAGTAGGGTTTGTGTTCCTATGAGAATCTAATGCTGCCGCTGCTATGACAGGAGGCGGAGCTCAGGCAGTGATGCGAGGGATGGGGAGCCGCTGTAGACACAGATCAAGCTTAGCTCGCTCACCTGCTCCTCACCTTCTGCAGTGGGCTCGGTTCCTAAAAGGCCATGCAGGGACTGGTGCCAGTCCATGGCCCAAGGGTTGAGGACCCCTGAATTAAGGGACTTATATAGGAGGTGTGAGTTGGTTAAAGGAACCAACATAGAATGTTGTAGCACCCAAGCAAGAGCAGCAGCAGGAATCCTAGGGATCAAGGAGCAAGGAGAGGGAAAAACACAAAACAAAACAAAAAAACAACATTGAGAGCTGGAGCCACTGACAAGAAATTATAGTTGTAGAAATACGAATGCTAACAAATCTGTGTAGAATCAGGGAGAAGTAGCCTCCTTCTGACGTCTCGTCTTTTCCCATGTCCTCCCATGGGCTGATTTCAGTCAAAGTTAGAAGGCGATAAAGCCTTTGTGATGATATCTTCGGAAGTCTCCTTCCAAAGAGCAGAAAAGAACAGACAATGGACAGGGATGGAAAGGAGAGCAGAGAGAATAACTCACAGGGGCAGTTTCTTTAAAATGAATTTGGAAATAAAGAGGTGCAAATGCAATTTTGACTGGCAGAGATATTTGTACCATCTTGATCCTAATTTTAGAACAGTAATGATAAAAATTTCTATTTTATTAAATAATTTAGGATGCAGGCTCCTGTCCTGATATCAGATTAAATTACTGCATTACACACAGAAGAAAATCAGAATAAAAGAACCAGTAACATACCATTGTCCTGTAAAATCATTTTATTTTCTGTTACATAAACATCTTTCTCAGGTAATGTTACCAGAGCAACCTATTTATGGGGTTTTACAGTTTAAGGTAAATATACATATTTTTAAAACTTATCTCTATTATACAGAGTTGTGATATAAAAATGATTTATAGGCTATAGTTTTCAGAAAGCAGCTAGACTAATCCTGCTTTACACTTTCTTATTTAAATCTATAATATGGCATAAAAAGATAAGATTTAAAAAAAAAACTCCTGACAAAAAGCTTGAGATCATCAAAGGAATGTTTACTGTCCTCCACAGAGAGCCACTAGGATTTTTTCATAATCTCCTTTGGTTTCATCCTGTTGATTAAAAATAAAGATACTTAGTGTTACCTGAAACCATAATCAATAGAAGTATTTTTAAATTATAGAGTAATTATTGTATTAGTAAACTTAAGAGTTGTAGAACATATATCACAGTATATCAAGTATCTAGGATTTTTATAAGAATAGTATTTATTTAACTAAATAATATAACTGATATTTGTTTGTTGATTATTAGAGAAAAGCTATACCCATCAAGATTCAGATTGTAAACTTCTGAGTTGATTATGTTGTGTATTAGAGCTGTTATTTTCCAAGAATAAAATATAACACAGAATTGAGTAAATGGAACAACGTTATTTCAGATTATCTTGAGGAATATCCGATTCACTCACCAGAGAAAGTTATAAGCTATTATTTTCTCAATAGATTTTAGTTATTCATTATAAGTAACAAATTAAATTTAAATAATCACCTACCTTTCAATAATTTTAAAACTCTAACTTGTACTTATTTGTATTAACATTATAGTAAGATCACATGAACATGTATTTTTATACATTTTACACACGACAAAATTAAGGAAGAACTTAAGACTAATGGGTTTCTAACCTGCTGATCAATATTCATTGCAAAATAAATTATTATATCTCCTTACTGAAATATTTTGGTGGCTATATTTGTGAGGAACTAAATGTTTCTATGACTGATGAATAATTTGAGTATTTTTTCACTACAGAACTCACTAGTAGATTTTACCAGTGAAAGTTAAATTTACTTATAAATTATATATCCTAATATAACAAATTAATCTTACATATGAAATTGATATATGTAGTAAGTCAGCCTTTCTCTTTAAAGAAATTGCACAAACAATTGTTGTTTGTTGGGGTAGCATTATGAAAATCACAACATACCAGGATGGCTTGGCAGAGAGAGATACCATACAACTTCTGATAGCATGCTTTAATATCATTCATGTCGATTTCAGAACGGGAAACCATGATCCTGATCAATGCCTTATGACGTGTTCCCACACCCTGTGCAAAACAAATGAGGGTGAAATGTCTTATATTCAGGGCGTACTCTTAAATAAAGCAGGATATGGGTCTGAATGTGAAGTTCTCTTGTTCACCCATAGAGTTTCTATAAAGAAATACTCTAAATTAAAACACACACACACACGCAGATGCACTTTATACAAGTGGTAATAAAATGTCAAAAACCCATTTGCTACATTGGCAGTACGTTAAGAGATTTTACAACCTTCAAATTGGCTTTCCACCATCCTGCCTTTCCTTTCTCAAAATTATACAATAATTATAAATAATGTGAACTATCTAAATTGCAAATCTAATCATCTAATTCATGTATTCAAAATCCTTCAAGGTTCTTCTTTTAAGATGAAAACCAATCATTTCATCTGGGCTTACAATGTCCTAATACTACACTTTCTTCTGCTGCTGCGCACCATCACTCTACTTGTATTTATTATCTTCAAAGGGTAATTCTACCTCTTCCTCCTGGATGAACCTGACTTTATTACCCCATCTCTTCCATCCCTGTTCTCATCTGGTAAATTCCTGTTCACTCCCAGGTCTTAGTTTAGCTGAGAACGAGGCTCCACTATTATCCAAAGTATGGGACACTGGACACTCTCCGACTCTTCCACGATACTAGGTATTCATCATTACCCATCAGAGTAGCCCACTTAATAAGAACAGACGTGGATTAAGGGACTGCACTCCCTTCTACATAAAAGCACAATGCCTGTCATTTCACAAGTACTCTTCTCTTTCTCTAATGAGTTCCTTATTTTGGAGTTGCTAAATTAAAAAAAAAAAAAAGACAACTTCCAAACTTTCACAGTACAAGTATACAAGTGGCATCCTATATAATACAATCAGAGCTAGAGAATAAAGCTAAAGCACTTGAAGTGTATCTCAATATAGCTTAATAACACCTTCCAGTTCACTAATCTTAGAACATTTTAAAAGCTTAGAATGACATATTAATGCATGGCATGGAAGATGGAATAATGAAAAACAAATGAAACTTAGAAAGGGGGAGATTGTAAAACTCAACCTTAGCAGACGTAGGTTACCAAAATCACACATATAAAGAGAAATTATACCAACTTCCTGTGCTAACTCAGGCTTTATTTAAATCATGAATAACCCACAAATTACCTACAAGCTCACCTCACCATCTTAGCTATAAAAAAATTTAACAAATCTAACCATTTTATTCTAATAAGGAAGTATATTATCCTCATGCATTGAACAAAAGAGTAATTCTTTTTAATGTGAAAATAATGGGTGAGCCAAAAAGTCCATATTTTTTTTCCATAAAATAAAAGACGCATTTTTCATTTTCACCAATAACTTGTTTGATTTGGATATTTTGAGTATGTCAGCTACCTCCTGTGTAGCACAACATTGATTGTTCTCAATTAATGTATCAATATGATACCTATCAACTTCAGTTGGTCTACCCAACCATGGAGCATCGTCCAGAGACAAATCTCCAGCACGAAACTTGGCAAACCACTTTTGACACGTTTGATCAGTCACAGCTCTTTCTCCATACACTGCACAAATCTCTTTTTGCGTTTCATTTGCACTTTTACCTTTCTTGAAATAATTAAGCATAATATGCCAAAATGTTGCTTATTTTTTTCCATCTTCAATATTAAAATAGCTACACAAAAAAATCACCAGTTTTGATAAGATTTTTTTAAATGCACGCTGGTATGACAGCTGTCACAATACAATCTAACAAAATTGTTTTGAGTGAAGTTAAAGACCGCTAAGTGCTACTAGAGCCATCTTACAGAAAAAACCAAATGAACTTTTTGGCCAAACCAATATTAAAATATGTGTGATTTTCAAACAATCTGAGGTTTTACGTTCTCTCCACTAACAATAGCCTTTCCCCTAAACAAATCATGTAAGCAGGATCTTACCTTCATGGCCTGATGAAGCTTCTCAGCAAAGAACATCGGTTGGTTTGTGGCACACTTCACTGCAAGAGAGGCAGTTTAGTTGACATGTTTACCACAAAGGAAGAAAGATGCATATGAAAGAAATAGGAGATTGAGAGTTTTGCAAGCAAGATTCTATTCTGCACCCCAATTTCTCATCCCCCTTCTCTCAGTATGGGATATTTGGTGTGTAAGATGCTGGTTTTGAATATTCCTTCCCCTGACACCAACACCTACCTCCTGTTATCTTACATACAAACAATGGCAGCTTCAATAGTTCACACTATCCTGAGTATACTCTGCTTGGAAATAGGGAAACCAGTTGGTGTTAAAGGCCATGTTGGCATATCATACATTTTTCATGTTGTAGTAAGAAAAAAAATTTTAAGTGGAATAGCACAGCTGCAAAAGGCAACTGCCAAATAAAATACTAACAGGTGTATCAATTACTAGGCTTATCTAGTTTGCTACTCAAAAAGTGTGATCCGTAGACCAAAAGAATTAGCATCAACTGGCAGCTTGTTAGAACTGCAGAATCTCAGGCCCCATATCACACCTACTAAAATCAGAATCTGCATTTTAACAAAATTTCCAAGGGATTCGTGTGAACATTAATGCTTGAGAAGCACTGCTTTAGAATGCAGGTTTCCAGCCCTGACCAGTCATCTGTATAACATAAGAGAGCTTTTAATATCCTGTTCTTTTAAAGACATTGTCAGAAGCTACCAAAGAACTATTGAATCAGATTCTCTGGGGTTGCCTAAGGTTATTCAATTGGCAAGTGACAGACCAGGATTTGAATTTGTATAATTCCAAATCCCATGTCCTTAATGACCATGCTGACTTTCCCCTGTGCTATGTCCAGCCTGGTACATCACTTGACGTAAATAGGGGCTGAGAGAGTATTTTCCACCTGCCTATCTTTTTTAAAAAAGGAAATGATACCTGTTATTATTAAGGTTATTTAGCTAATTATCCTCTATTGCCATTATCTTATACATTGCCACTGTCTGAAGCATAGATAAACCTCTTCGGAGTTGTTTTGCTTTTTGTCTTGTTATATTTTGGTCTTTAAATTATGGGACAGCGATGACGATGCAATTCTCATACAGAAAATTCTTCCCTCTCCAGGACTACGTACCGATCGTTACGAAGCATTTCTCGATGTCCCCTTTCATCTCCAGGTCCAGGACTTTGTTCATGTCGTGTTGGCTGTACTTGGTGTACCTCTGAAACACTGAATATTACATTTAAACTAAGAGATGTAGACACCATCCTATTCTTTAGCAAAAGTTAGTAAAATCAAGGCAACTGACTCAAAGAACTCCTTGAGATGACTGAACTTCAGAACACGTTTTAAAGCTAATTACTCAACTGAGCAGATTTTGGATACTACATTTTCTCCTAGGAATGTAACTCACATGGCTATTTTGGTGCTCTTCTATATTTTGGGTAAATTTTTGCAAATGTTGACAGGTATTAGAAATGGCATGTGATTGACAATCATAACACATGCTGCATCGGAGCTAAGTGCCATAGCAAATGAATCTTCCCTTATATAAAAATCTGTGTAATAAGTTTCTCTTAATTTTAACATTAGAAATCAGTATGCTATTATAAGATAATTAACTTTATTTTATAATCATCATGACTTTTCATTTGGCATGGCTTCCAGCCAGCTCAGAGCTAAATTTTGTGCTCAAAGGCAAGAACTCCTTATGGTGTTTGTTTCTGGAGCACCTAAATACACTTTTCCACTTAATCCTGAGTTTTTGATTTCCTTCCTTATAATTTCATTCGTTCTGCTTATGTGTAGATTTTGTCATTATTTGTTCCAAATATTTTGGAGGAATAAAAACGGTGAAAATAATGAAATAATGTTCTACACACCAGTCACAAAAGGTGTTTCAAATACTATAAAATGATCATTATACAAAGTTGAACAAACGCACAAAAATCATTAAGGGGCCAGGAGCACTATGCAATATTCATCTGGTGTAGGAGTGATGCTGCTGATTAAGGCCATTCTCTTTCTTTTCTCTTATTTGTCCTTAAAAAAAACCCAAAAAACAAAAAAACCCTGCATTTCTATAAGCAGGTTCCAGGAACCATTTTTTTCTTCTTACCTCTGCGAAGATGGGGGTAGCTTCTGGTGGTAAGAATGGTGTTGAACACGTTCACATCTGTCCCTTTTCTCTTTTCTCCTGCTTCATATAATGCCTGTCAAGAAACACAAAAATAAACACTTATCTGTTGACTTGATACCTTCGCAAGAATCTTAGATCTCCTCAAAGGTTTTCTAGGCAGCTGCTTTGTATCCAAAAGGATTAGAACAGAAAAATGCTAAGATGCAAAGTTCCCTAAAGATGGGACCTTATTTTGCTTGTCAAGTGTCTTCCACAGTATCACTCAAGGTGCCTTGCAAACATTAGAGACTGAACATATCTTAGAAGAAGAAATATTTGATGGATTTAATCTTTTAAAGAATATATTCTACATCAAAGCAACTCCAAGGACCTCTCTGATTTTCTTTTATTTTTAATTGTTCAAATTATCGACAAGTGGTATTAATAATTCAACCATAACCTAGATCTTGAATTTTGACATTAGAATTTCTAGATTTAAATCTTGACTCTGCAACTTAATAACTCTGTAATCTTAGATAAATAATTTAACCTTATTAAAGTACAGATATTTCCCATTTTGAAAATGAAAAAGGTAATTTCTGTCTTATTGTCACAAATTGCTCTGTTGATTTTGAAATCTTAATTACCATCATCCTCTTGGGTGACACTAATCCATGTAGCTACCGTAATATACATCTAAAAGCCTTGATAGTCTTAAAATGGAAAGCAAATAAGTATAAATTTTTTATTATGGCAATTATTCAAATACTAACTTTCTTCTATGTATGCTTGTTCACCTTCTATTATAATTATCAAACTTCCAATGGACATGTTTTATTTTAAACTTCTCAGGCAAACTGATCTGATATGTATGTGTTTATTCAGCAAAAAGTTAATGAATGCCTATTTTATCTGCAAGATAGTGTAGATAATATACTGTTACAGTGAAAGGAGTTGGGGTGGAGAAATAAGTTTCTATTCTTACTGACTCAATGCAATGAATTTATAGAGAACGCTATTCCAAGAGGAAGGCATATGCAAATAACTGTCTTATTTTTTAAACAAATTCCTGGTCCTAAAATGACACAATTTTTCTAATGTTTGCAATGGACTGGTGTATTACTAATCAGCAACTTCAAAGAAACTATATAAAAATATACTTGAAAGTATATAAATGTTATTATAATTGTTTTATAATTATAGTATCAGTACCATATTATTTTTACCACATAAACTATCTGTAAACCATTCCAATGTTCACTGTTAAAAGAATGTTAGAATGTTTACTCTGTCCATTTGACTTAACAAAAAATACATTTCCCTTTCTGGTAAAATAAAAAAATCATAGTTTTTTCAACATAACAGTTTTTGGTAATTACAAATCAAATTCTCATTGTTCTCTTTTAATCCTCTCAACTGTGTGAATAATGAGATCTTTGAAAACATCAAGACTACAGTTTTTCTTGGACTGTTCAAGCATAGAGAGTGCACATCGTTCGGAAAAGGAATATTAGGTGCCCTTGGTCTCTTGAAGCATCTTAGATTTGCTTTCCCATGGAGGTCATGAAGCGGCAACCTTACTGGACGCAGGACCACCTGAGGTAGGAAGGGCAGTGGAGGAGGTCTGCTTACCCTGGCATCTGAGTCAGCCAAGTCCTCGTTTATGCGAAGATCCTCAGCTCGGTCACCCTGAAAAAAAAATCCCACTCTCTTGGTAAATTGTTTTCTAACACGTAATCACGTGATTTACATAATTTCTTTAAAATCAAATAAGTCATATTCTTTGAGAGTCAATTACTCATTTGAAGAGTGAGAAGAAATCTAAAAATCTTACTCTTCATCAAAGAAGAGGTATTCCCTGAGTATCTGAGTTATACCTTAGCAAGAGAGAGCAAAACCTTCTGATAATCTCCAGAGGTGTCGGAGGTGATATCTTTAGCCAGATCTCTCTTCAATTCTGAAAAACAAGAGAAGTATATTTGCAGTAAATTAATGATAAATAATAGTGATAATTACAATATCTGACATCTGTATATGTATTGGCTTAAAATTTGCAGTGCCAAATGCGCGATGACTTATGAAATGCATTTCAAAATATTATCTTTTTAAAATAAAAATAGCAACATTAAAGCAAGTAAAACTTTGGGTCATCAAATTTATACCCTCTAGGGCAGTAAAAGAAATTTAAATAATACTGTGAGTAAAAACCTACAATCATACAACTTTTGCTAATGAGTAATATGAATAGTATAAGTACTAAATAATTAATTCTGAAATAAACATGCCAGAATTTAAGCAATGTGATGAATAGAATACTTATTTAAAAGAATAAGCCAGAGGTACTTGCTTGAGCACAGATTATTTACTTTAGAAAAAATAAATATATGTAATATAATTTAATTATGTGTATATATACACATATATAGATTTAAAAATTTTATTTGTGTAATACACTTACTTAGCTATGCAAAATAATGCTCTATTAGGAAATAATTAACTAAGTTTATAATTAACTAGAAGATGGGACAATTTAACAAGTTATTATTGGACTATTATCTTGGGTATAATAGGGAAATATGGATATTTACCTTCATAAAGTATGTTTTACTGAACAAAAAACTAAAAATAATTCCCCTCTTGATTATCATCATTCATAAACAGATCTAAGAGAAATACTGGTAATGAGATAAATGCAAAAAATGAGGTTGAAAGCTTCCTTACTCTGATTCTTTTATTAAATTGTTCTGAAAACAATATGCAAGGGCTGTTGCATATTGTATTTTCTGTGCCTGGGATGAAAATCAAGCAGAAAGATTCCCTATGGTGCCACACAGTGGCTTGGGAACCTAGAAAAGGAACACAGTAAAAGACCGAGCATTGCTTGGGACCCACTGGCACCCTTATCTCTTCACAGTGTTGAGCATATCACGGAGATGAGATGTGCCACTGAACAAAGTGAGCCATGGCTGGCCTGTCATCCCTATGGATCCAACTAGAGATAAACAATAAGTGAGTTACTTGTATTCGTGATGGCAAATTTTAGGATGGTAAAAAGTTTCCATCACAAGATTATAAGCACCTAGCTCTTTAATTTTTCAAGGACAAATGGAGAGTTGTTTTTTTTTTCAAGATTTTTATTATTTGTATCTTTTCAAAATAAAAGCCACAGAATATTTTAATGAAATAAATATCAGCATAATAGAAAATCTTTTTAGAAAATCTTTTTAGAAAATTCTTTTAATTCAATGCTTTGAATTGAATTTTCCATTACAATAACGTGTGGCCATTTGTCTTAGAATGACATTTTGATTTTTGATTAAAGTGTAAACTTGATTAGGGCTGGGCATTGTCTCCCTTATCGGCAACCTAGCAACTTGAATGATACCCAGTAACAGTGTATGATTACAGTAGACATGTGCTAAACAATAAAGGAATATTTTAGTATGTAGAATTTTGAAAGCACCCATAATTAAACCCACAATCAATTTTTAAAAAAGCATATCAGATTTCCTTTGTCACCTAAGGCATTTGGACTGTTAGACATTAAAACTTACCATCTCTATAGACTCTGTTAATTTCTCTGATTTCTCTGTTAGTTCTTGAGGCCAAAATTTCATTCAGAGTGTCTTCATCAGTTCCAAGGCCCTAAATTGAAAGACAAGAAAAGAAGAAATGTAGAATATTCATTTGAGAGCATCAACCAGTTTATGTGTCCCAAAATTTGTTTGAATCTGGCATTTGGTACATTTCCTGCAATATTTAGTAATTACACTTAGCTCTATCTAGTATATTTTTATGGAAACAAAATGAATTTAAAGCCAATATTTTGAACAAAGAAAGATATAAAAAGTGAGATATATGACTGACAGAGTGACATGTTAAGGAAGGTGAAAGTTAACACAGCTATTAATACCAACACTCATTAATAAACTAAATTAACTAATTCATGCTTCATATTCCCATTCATTGACAGGTCTTGAACTAAATGTTGAGGATCCTAGTGGACTTGACTTACACGTTCTTTTCTGGAAAAGAGTTTTGCTTAAATCGAGTGATTTACCTTCATTGCAGCACGGAGTTCATCAGCATCAAATTGGGCTGGAGTTTTCAATAGAGCCAAAACAACCTCCTCGAGGTGACCTGTAAGGGCTTTCTTCAGAGCTTCATCCAAGGGCTATAGCAAAGAAATTAGAATCAGGGCTTATAATAATTAACACGCTAGCTTACACAGCAATGTAGGTTTACCTAACCTTTACATAATCCTATTGCTGATTCCTAAACCCAACCATCTTCAGAGCTGTTCCTTTTGCAATGCAAAAAGGTACGAGATAGTTAGAAAGTTATATTAATCTTTTAGAGTAATTAGAATGATATTTGATTGAATTCATTGATAACTTCTTAAAGAACAGTGTCCTCAATCTTTTATAAGAGCAAGAAACCACAAAGCTGAAATCATAGAGTTGTCCATTAATAAAAAGAGTAGTAAGAATACTTAAACTATATATAATGTATTAATAATTTTTCCATACTTTGGGGTTTGCACTGTTCAGATAGCTCTCTAATCAGACATTGACAAACAGTTTTCTAATTGCATTCCTTAAAAACCACTACCTGTATTTGATATGAAAAAAATAAAGCTTACTTTTAAGGTAATGTGGACAAAAAAAGGGCCACATCCCAAACCTGACAAGCTCAGGGTAGGCCTGCATGGTGGGCCCTACAACTCAGAGGCAGAAAGCAAGCACATAGGAATTTTTGTGTTCAGACCATCCTAACTAAAAGCAGGTCACGGCAGGAAGTCAGGTCCTTGGCCTGCAGCTTCCTTGACAAAGGTCAATCTTGACCTAAAGTGAGCCTGCCAACATTTTTGTGCATCTAAGATAGCATAACTTTGAAATGTCAGAGTAATCTCTTCCAGACCTCTCAGGGCACAGCCTCCCAGCACAGAGCACTAGACCACAGAAACCCTCATTATTATCTCATTTCCTAGCATAACATCTCATGTGCTGTAAATGTTCGTTAACTATCCTGCACCCAACAATGAAAAAGATGTATCTCTTCATTTTACTTGTTCTACAATGCCAGAGATGTCCCTGTTTTGCTTTCTTCAGCCTCCTTAAAACAATGAATTTCATGTAACCCTTACGCCTCCTTCTTTGATTCTAATGTATAAAATAAGCTACAAAACTGTTGAGATTTTGCTTCCTGGCAACTGTCATTAGTTTGGTTCAAATAAACTAATAAAAGTTCCCTACAGGTTTTGATGTTTCTTATGTTGACTGTAGATGTATATATGTGTGTGTGTGTGTGTGTGTGTGTGTGTGTGTGTGTGTATACACATACATACATAAAAACCTTACATTTAGGCATTAAACAACTCAGTTTAAATTTTAGCAGAAGACACATTTTAATCAGGACACATTCCTTATTGCCAATGGTAATCTTGATGTTTGTTACATTGAAATTAAAGATGTCTCAATAAAGGGCATCACATCTGCAAAGAATTCACACCAATACAACCAATGTATGAAATCAGTAAATTTGCCAGAATTGATTTGATGGCAATCAAGTGGATAAATACTGCAATCCCACTCTTATTTGTAATGAAAAAACAGTGTTAGAAACTGAAAGAACTAAGTAAGCATGCTTCAAAATCCATATTTAATATGAATGCAACTAAAATTAAGTATCAAAGTTTACCACTCCAACCCACCTTTCCTTTTTCTTGTAGATAAGCGGCTTTGATCTGTTGACGCTGTGCATTGTTTCTCTTTGTCAGAATGTCAATGATGGTTGCTTCATCCACACCTGGAAACAAAGAGCAGATTGCCTTTTTATTTACTATTTTATTTTTATTTATTTTATTTATTGATTTGAGAGAGAGAGAAAGAGAAGAAGAAGAGAGACAGAAAGAGAGAAAGAGGGAGAAAGAGACATTGATTTTTGTTGTTCAACTTATTTATGCATCTAGTGATTTCTTCTTGTATGTGCCATGACCAGAGATCAAACCCACAACTTTGGTGTATCAGAAACACGCTCTGGTAACCAACTGAGCTACCCATCCAGGGCAGCAGCTTGCCATTTAAAATCAATTTTGTTCCCCATCAATAATTGACATTAAGTGATTCATTATCAAGATGTTCCAAATGAAGTTCTTAACAAACTAAGAAATATGAAAGATGCAACACTACATATCAAAGGGAAGCACTTGGGATGACACTCTACTTATTTCAATGAAAAAGGAAGAGGAAACTGTTCTTGGACCCTAGTGTTACAGTGTCTGACCTTAGTTCAAACCCTAAATGTGAGCAGGAGTTTTGGTTTCAGTGTTCAGTTTATGTTAGAAATGAGCTGTCATAGCAGCAGAGATTCTACAGATTTAACCAAAATTTCTTAAGTGATAAAAAAGGATATATAGCTTCGTTTGATGAAGAAGTCTTTTTATATTCAAAATGAAACAGACATTTTCCAGGGCACATGTCTGTTTTTCAATAGCCTTTCAAAGAGCCATTCTGAAATGTGCAGGAGGGGATTGTTTGAGGAAGACAATCACCTTTGACTGTAATTGCTTTATGCAAGGCAGCAACATCTGAGGATGGATTAAAGCTGGGATAGGGGCTCACTGCTGACCCAGGGCCACCTTTGGATCCTTTCACAGTTTTCTGTGGATGAAAGAGAAAAAAATTAATGTCCATTCACTCCTATTAATTTCTCTTTTAATATTTAACTGTTATTTTATTATCATTTGACTTACGATGTATTCCTGCTCTTCATTTTCAATAAACCAGGCCTGCTTGAGGAATTCTGATACCATTGCCATATTTAAAGACTATTCTGGAAAGAAAACAGATGCTTTTACAAATCACAAATCCACCACACATACACCACTCCATTCCTTTAAGACATAGAGTAGCCTTGACTTTACTTTCCAGGATATTACTTGAAGCATAATAAAATGTTAAAAGTAAGTTTTTTAAAAAGGAGAGTCTCACCCTTGAACAGAAACCCGTAGAGTCCATTCAGAAATTTGGCTCTTTCTCGGCATATTCAGTCCTTACTTTTAGGGATCAGATGGCTACTACAAACAGGCATATAGGCTGAAGAGGGGAGCTGGTGATTCACCTCACTGCTCTAAATTTACAGACTATTTACTATATGCCAAACACTGGGGGTGCAAAATACATCAAAACATCATCCTTTGCCTTAGTGAACTTTAAGTTCATGTGTGCTCTTGGTGGGAAAACACAAAAGCAAAGGAAGCTTTTTTAGAGAAAGTGCTGGTTAATCTGAGCCTCTCTTGAAATGAGTTGAGATTAATCTGGCATAAAAATTAGCAAAACAAAAAGACATCTATCATATTTGGGGAGCTGAAAGAAATTTACGGGAACAAGAAGTGTTGACAGAAGCTCCAATAAAGAAGTTTAAATGTATCCCTAACTAAAGCTTTAGGAAAACATTTAATAGATTTTTAAAAAGAAAGTAACATGATTCCACTTACATGTCAAAAAGATTACTCATCCTCTATCACAGAGAATGGCTAAGAGATGGGCAAGTTGGAAGATTAGATATATTTAGTACGGCTATTAGAGAATCTATGCAGGATCCATGATACCCAGAACAAAAACAGCATTATATTTATATTTGTAAGGTAAAATAATCTGTGACAATCTGCAGGAGTTGATTTAGACTTAAAAACACTATCCACAAAAAGACATTCAGGTGCAGTGTCTCCCCCAAATCATTCAGTATCCTTTTCCATTCCTCCGTACAAAATTACTTCGGCACTTGGAGTGTCCCCATTTCTTCCTAGTTGAGCTGTTCAGAATACCAGGCCTGCATGTTGTGCCACCCAACACGAAGAACTGGGAAATGGATCATTTTACACCAAGTGCTTTGCTCCAACAGGAAGCTTTAGGGTGAACTTGCAACATGGGTGCCCTCTTTTGGTAAAGTCTGTCTTAAAGGAAATTTCTTGAATTGCTACCATGGTTGAGGGGTGTTGTTATGTAATCAACAATGTACATTTTTGAAAACCTGGAGTGTGTTATGCAAAGAAGAAGCCACCAATGATCCTTTCTGTCTGGGGATGTGTTTTTAGGAGGCTACGGTCAATATCTAGACCAATTCTCTCTCCAGATCCTCTTGTTTATTCCTCTGGAGACTATTCTCATCAATACATGTGAGGGAAGTTAGAAGGATAATCCAGCTCATTTTAAATTCTTGACATGAAGCTAAATGACTCATGAGAAGTGAAACCTATAACCTAATTTCTTAACAGCATGTTCAAGCAATGTATTTCAATCCACACCTACTAAAAAAATAACTGCAGTTCCAGGTAATGAGATTAAACACAGGAGAGAAATACTATCCAAAGCAGAAACTATCTCCACTTAATTATTACATGGATGGTCCAATTATTATTTTGTCATCTGTGAAAAGAACCAATATATCAAGCACTTATTTAATCTCTCCCCACCCCAGCAACTGAAAAATTCAAAGTTGTTTCCTAAGGTAGATTCATGATGTACAATTTTGTGCAAGGTTTTAGTTCCCATTACAGACACAATTGGGTGCAATTGCCGTTGGCATGTGGAGAATTTCATTTCCCTGTTGCTTAATTGGCACATCCAAAATGTCTAGCAATTTCAGCAAGCTTTCAAGTATTTGAAATTTCCATTTTTATCATCTCATCCATGCTTTTCATTAAGTAGAATTCTCAAAATGGGTGATGTGATCACTTATGAATCCTCAAAAAACAGGTACTTTTCCACAGTATAGAAATATGTGTTCAAATATCTCCACTCTTTCCCATTAGAAAATAAAAACTTCAAGAGATAAAAGATTAACGATTTTGTCAGATACAATTTCAAAATGAGACTCACAACTTCAAAATGAATTTTATGAAAACTTTCCCGTACTTCACTCATTTTTTTCACTTCTAAAAAAAATGCTTACATAAGGCATCACTTAAAAAATAAACTTGAGAAAGTCTAATAAAATGTTATCGCGCTATTAACTACATAACACAAAATGAAAAAAGGGAGAGACTAAATAATTTATTTGACATAACAGTGTCCACAGAGGGGACAGCTTTGTAGCTAGTATAGCCTGAGTTCCTGGACTGTAGTCCGAAGCAGTTTGAATGGCCTGGAAAAGAAAAGCAGACTGAACGGCACGCATCTCAGGAAAGCAATTAGAGGAAAATGGAATCTCAGCTGAGCCAAAGTAGACCCACTAGCTCTTAACAAAGCTTAAAGAAGCAGGGTTTTTACAAGATGTCAGAAATCACTCTAAAAGAATTTTAGGAATTGTCAGGTACTACTAATTAAATGCCCATGGCCAACTGCATGTTTTAACAGAATCTCTTAGCAGTTACAACACAGCTTATAAATTCCAAAGCAAAATATTTTGGTCAAAAACTAATGCCAAACTATTCTGTTTGTTCAATATCTACATTCTGCATGAAAACCAACATTTTGTACTTGATAAAATCCCATTCAACCATTTGAAGGTAACACTTGCTTAACCATAAATAAATAATGCATTCAAGTGTTTTATTGACTGCCACATGTTACACAAATGTTGGATATTACTATTATTCAAAGAATGATCTGGTTGGGAAAATAGACTTGCACAGTCAAAAAGTAATTTAAATAAGCCTATGAGTTTACAAAAGATTTTCTTTTTCCTGCTTTTCTTTTGACTTACAATGTCTAGAACTTATACTATGTATTTAAGAGTTTATTTTAGTAACTTACCTTGGCTCAATATATATTTAATCTGGCTACTAAAGCGCTCTGAAACCAAGTTTATCTCAATCTTTAATATCATCTCATAGGAGATGAAGTTGGTTGGTCATTTACACATAGGTTGACCTATATGGAAATTAACAATATTCCAGAGTTCTTCTGGTAATGAGTTGTTTGTGGTCACGCACTGCCTACCAATCTCATTTATCAGTGGATGAATCTGTAGCTTTCTAGAGATTAGCATTTTTTGTATATTCACGTGTCATAAGAAAGCTCTCTCCATCTCACTGAGCAAGGAATTCAATAAGGTAAGTATGAACAAAAAGTATGCCCAAGGTGTTAGAGGGGGGTCCATGTTTATTAAATGTAAGAAAAAAGGCATTCCCAAAAGTGGGGCATTAGCAATAGCACCAACTAGACAGTTTGAGAACACTAAGCTTGTTGCATTAAAGTTAATTTATAGATTTTTTAAAATAATTGCACTATGGTTGTATCTTCATTTTTTAATTTATACAGGCAAAAATATTTCGAGATATTGGGACATCATCTGCAATGTTCTCTCAAATGTTACAGCATAAGTAACTATATAGAAAGGGTAGAAAGAGGAAAGAGGAAGGGGAAGAATTTGTAACAAAGTAAATGTGGTAAACTGTTAACAGGGTATATGGGTATAAAGTATGTGGTAATTCTGTGCAATATTCTTGCAACTTTTCTGAAGGCTTGAAATTATTATGAAAGAAAAGTTTATTCTTTTTAATCTCTATTTCTCCCTGCCAACCTCGTGAAAGGCTACTTCCAGAATTAGTGATTGAGGAAGCAGAGTTTTGTGGCCTGTCCCGCCTCCCAGATGACCAGCGAGAAGATCAGAGTTCTCCAATGACAGCAGCAGTGATTCTTCTTTGCATAAGACAATGTCATTACTGCAGTTTTCTACCTGAGAAATCAGTGTCATTGTGGGGCAGTTTTCTAGATAACAGCCAAAAGCATCAGGGCATACATAAATGTATACCTTTTGATTCTAAAATATTGTTTATTCTTTTAAACTAGTGAACAAAAAAGAACAGTGACAAGATCAATGTTGCTTCTAATAGTTCACACTTCAGAATCAAATGCCGTCACAGCTAACCCACAGAGACCCGTGGCAGGTTTCATTCACCACAGCCTGAGGGAATTTATATTTCAATTCTTTGTCTTAGGCACAGGTTTTTTTCCTTGCATATATATTTCATAAGTCCTTTTCACACCTACCCATGGGAGAGAAGTCAATTAGGCTGTACAATGGCATGGCTTGTGAAGAACCACTTTATGAAAAGTAGTCTCATAAATGTTTTGCTTCTAGGCGTTTTGATAGGGCGTTCCCTTTGCCTGAATTGCTGTTTCCTCCTCCACCCCCACTGCTCTTTGTCTAACCCTCGCTTCTAAGTGAAGACTCCACATAGACCTCATTGCATCCCCCCAGAAAGCCTTTATTAATTCAGCACTGGATTGGGTGACATTCTGGGCTCTCCCAAAGCTTCCTGCCTTTAGCCCTAAACCAGCCCCTACCATTCTGTATTAACGCTATTTATGTACCTGTATTTACAGCAGCATTCCATGAAGGCAATGCTGACCTGCTATTCATCCTGTACTTCCAATCCCTGGCAAAATGTCTGATATTTAACATATTAATAAACATTATTGAATAAATAGTGTATGAGTGCTAGTTATTTAGGAAACAAACCTATGCTAATTTAATAAATGTTTCTACACGTAACTATAAGATATAAAAATAAGCCCTACTTCGATTCTCTTTATCTGATTGTAGGACCTCAAGAAAATATTTATCTTTTCTAGGAGTCTTCATTTGTAAGAGTATTGGAATAAATAGTATGGAAAATGCATGTTAGCTCTGAAGTGCCAAACTTAAATTTCACCTCAAGTGGACAAAAGTGGAGGAAATCAGCATCATGAAGGCATTAATTACATAAATTGTATGTGTTCTGATTTTTCTGATAAAAATCTGTCCTATTTTAAAGAAAGAGAAACTCATTTTCTCTAAAATCTGCTTTTGATTTATCACTGGAAAACAAGAGGTTCATTACTTTAGCTCTGATTTTTAAAGTAAATCATAAATTAGTGGATCTAGAGAGGATTAAGAACAACTAGCTCACAAAGCTAACACAAATCAACCCTTGCAGATCTTCTGATTTAAAAATTATTTAATAAGCAGGAGACGCTGGCTGACTATTTAGACAACATCAGTCAAACACTGGATAGCTGCCAGTTGTGGTTCCACCCGGGGCTAGGATGGTATCAAACTTCTGGAGAAGAGGCCACTTCCAAATTATGAAACCAGCACTTTGCCACATTTCATTTTGCAACGTTCCTTCTCTTCCAGCCACCAAAAAAACATTCATGCAGACAGGGGAGAGTATTACTTTTTCAAAGCCCATGCATAATTTCAGACATAAACAAGGCAAGAAAAAACACATCTGTCCTAATTAGGTAGCGTAAAAAGTTGCTATCAGGGCACTGAATTGACATTCAAAATAGGCTAAGAGAAAAATTCTCTAAGGAACATTCGTAATGAACAAAAGCCAGATACATGGTTAGGATTCAATCTTTTTCAAATCTTTTACTTTATCTTTTTACTTTTACTTTTGCAAATATCCAACACAAGTAAAAACTCTACTTTAAATTTGCTTTGCACTTTCCTAGAGTCTCATGGCCATTAGCTCATTCACTCAACAATCAAGATGCTTCTAAGTAGAATAACTTTTCAATGACTCATCTGGCATTCCCAGGGGATGACTTATCTCACACGCTCAGAAAATTGTTCCCTTCCCCCTAGGTTTTTAGATGAGCACTTGAAAAGCCTGCCAATGACACAGAGACTACAGGAATAAGAAGGTGTCTACACCCTCTTTAAATGAACTGATTAATTAACAGATCCTCTTATTTATTTACATAGCATAAGTAAAAATAACATTAATTTCAAAATGTTAATTACAAAGGGCATGATACCACTATCAGATCTGAATCTTTTTAGTTTTCCTTACAAAGGAAAATGAATTATGTCAACCACGCTATTTGGAAACAGTTCCCTTAAACCCGGCCTGGCCTGGCTCCCTCCCAACATGTACCCCCTACATCATGACTTCCATGTGGGGCACACACAGCTCCTGGAAACTCACAACTTGTAAGAGGAAAACACATTCTTTCCTTCTTTTCCATGGTAACTCACCAACAGTATAACAAACCAGTATTAAGCAAACTTAATCCTTTTAAAATTATATACTTGAATTATGTAAAACAGAACAGTACATTTGTGACTCCCAAAATACAAATATACAATATAATTTTACAGAAAGGCTTATCAAAACATCTTAAACACTACTAGTGATAAATCCTACAGAAGCAGTAACATGTAACATCATGTTGGGAAAAGTTTTCAAAACTAACTAAAAAGAAAACCAAGACTTACCTTTTTTCCCACCTCTTCCAGAGAACTACAGAGAGAGAGAGAGATTCTTCTCTGAAAGGGCTCACTAGAACTGAAGCCTTGGGCTTCTGAATTTATAGAAGTTGAAAGGAGACCACACCCAGCAACCAGATGTTAGTAATTGGTTGACTTTTGTTTGAAACACTTGGCTCAGCCCTGTTCAAAAAAACGAACTGAAACAAGTCTTGCAAAATTACTCATAGCTGACAGCCCAAAGGAAAAGAAACGGAAGGACAGATTTTCTTTTATCCTCTGTAGTTCGCACTGTTTTTTTTTTCTTTTTTTCCCCCCCAGAAGGTATAGAATGCAATGGATTTTTAAGTATGCAGTACTATATGCTCCAAACCTGATATCAATGATGGACACTTTTTTTTAGTTAAATGGTGTTGAAATGAAAAATGTTTAAACTTCAAAACAAAACACAAGCAAAAATATTTTAAAACCCTTTCAGTTTGAACCTCAACTCCATCACATATTATGTGACCTTGGGGATGTATTTAATTTTTCTGAACCTATATTATCTAGGCTGCCTAGCCACTGAATTTCTTGTAACAATTTAGAAATAATGTATATTTATAAAGTCTAATGTTATGCAGTGCTGAATAATTTTCTATTTATATTTCACTAGCATTTTTCTTTCCTTTAAAATAAGGTATTTTTGTGCTTGGACATAAGTTGTTATAGCTAAGAAATATAAAAGAAATGAAACTCTAGATTGGCCCACAATTTTAAGCAAAGTAATCACTAAAAATGTGATTATTATAACATTCAAAATAAGAATTGGCATTGCAGGAAGGTCAACTTACAGTAATTCATATATAAGAAATAATTTTATATAAACCGATACAAATAGATCCTTGACATTCTAGACTTCTTGAACAATTAACCAGAACTATAAATTAAAAGAATTCATGAACTAGCAACTATTACAGAACAGGTACCAAAAGAAATTTCCCACCTGATGCAAGGAAATTTGATCTAATAATCTCAGTGGTGATTCATTTTTATTCTTCAGGAAATATTACAAAATATTATATGATGTTTCCATTAAACTATGCACAAGTATGAATCATTCCACAGCATTGTGTTGCAGTCGGGGCTCCATTTTAGTGGTACGTTCTTTTTCCTCTCTTCTCATAGATATCCAGGTATTTACATATATGTTAGGTTTAGAAAAATCAATGAAAATATTTTCTTAAGATTGGATTGTCATTTTTTTAATAATACCTTCTAAACTCTCAATGCTAATTTCAATGAAATCAACTTATCTTGAAGTAGGATGCTCACTTAACCTAAATATTTGAGAAAATGTCTATATTTTTGGCATCTACTGTATGTGTTGAACTAATTAGCTACTAACTAATGAATTGACTGATATTATTACAAATTAGTACTGACAGATATAGACCAGGTTTCTAATACCACATTTATTTTGTCAGGTGAGATAATCACACAAAATTTGTTTTTCAATTTGTATTTGTATTCCTAACTTTGATAATAGAAATAGGATATTTCTACTCGGTAACACTCTTACGAAATAAAAAAAGAAGTCCATGTGTCCATGTACCTTTCAAACAATGTAACTACCTAAAACAAACGTATAGTCTCATTTTGTTTTGTTTTCGTGGTTAACAGTACAATAAACCCAGAGGAATTGCTTTATGTATTTGAATTTGTAATGCATTGGTAAACTTATTATAGCAAAATAAAAGCGGTGCTTATGGGACAATTAAGAAAATAAAGTTAGAAAAGCATTTTTTCCCCCAAAATTCCAGTTGCATCTCTTAAAGGTAAATGAAATATCCAAATGTAAAATGAAAGTCACTAATCATGTATGAATATTGTTGTGAATAATCTGTTGGAAACTTTTTCCCCCACACAATAATAATGATAAGTGGATTTATGGGAATAAAAGAAAACATACATGATACCATTCACAGCTAAGGGGTAATCAGGAGTTAAATGTCTTATGTGCTTGAAACGCCATGTACTATATAGCTCCCTACAACTCCAGAAAAATGACTCACCACTCTTGTTTCTAGGAGATGATGACTCATAAGCTCCATTTACTTTACAGGGAGAGCACAGAAAGTAAAGGAAGAGAAGGAAATAAAAAAGGATAGTTAAAAGCAACCATTATGTGTTACATTTCCACATCACATTTATTTCTACTTCTTTAATGGAGACCCGATAATGAAGAGAAAACAAACCAGTAAGACAACATATGGAATCTCTTACACATTTTATATCTTAACAGAGGAAGAGTCTTCTCAAAAGACTCTAGCAAAACGTCTGATTTTAGTAAGGTGCTTTCCCCACCTCCTTATATGTTAGGCTCCATTTAAGTACTTTTCATTATAAAAGAAAAAGATGTATATGAGAATCAAAAAACCAATATTTCACTGAAATCCCCAAATCTCTCCACAGCTTCATACCCACTATCCACAAACAATAAAATCGTTGTTTTAGTTTGTATTTCTAATACATTCTCGGGTTAAATAAAGCATCTTGAGAAATTGCTTTCTAAATGGTTTTCTCTTTACCTCTAGAAAGGTAAAATAATTATCTCTCATACACATGCACACACACATCCACACTGAATTATTTAAAGTATTATTATCATTACCTGACTCCCAACATCACATAGACAAATACTTTTTTTTCAAATTAATGAAGTTAATGAATGGTCAAGCGGATAGGGAAGGTCAAAGCATCTTCATTGGACTTCACTTAAAAAACAGACAAAATTATCTGTGTGTAATAAGATGAAGGAGAGAATTTCATGTTCTTAACACATCAGGGTAGGGAGGGGATTGAGAACGTAAGAGATTAACAGTTTGATAAATTATCTTGCTCTCTTGATATGGATTCAGCAAAGGAAAAAGAAAAATATCACCCTGTCCACCAAAAGAGTAAACAAAGATTGGAATTCCCTGACACTGGAATTTTCTTATCCCTATGAACTTTGAACTTTGGGAGAAAAATAGAAGCTTCCTATTGGATCAAGTCTTAGTAACACAAGTTTTTGGTTTTGAAGGTCCAGACACATCTGGAGCAATATGTTTCAGTTTTTAGGTCAAAAACATCAGTGAATTATGGAGTCAATTTGCTATGTTCTGACCAACATTTAAAAAATAAAATAGCAATAAATAGAATAGAAGAAAGATGGAAATAAATAGAATAAAATGGAACACTGTGGAAACTGTTGGAGAGTTTCACATATTATTAAATATTGTTTTGTGAAACCTTGGCTTCTAGTGTTATATGTTTGCATGCGTGTGTGAATGTATAGTATAAAGATATAAATGTATCTCAACTGAATGTTGTGCTTAGAAAAGTTAAAAAAAGACTGAGGATGACTATTACAGTAGATGTACTCAAGAAAGGTAGACAATATTGTGCCTTCCTAATTATAAAATCTAGAGAATGCTATTATATCATAAGCAGTCATGTATACATATGCTTGTACTATGGCTTATATAATAAAAAAATTGACCACTCAGTTATCCATTAATAGAGGAATGAATAAAAAGTGTTATAATATGAATGAACTAGATATAAACAAGAATACATGCTAGAAAACATCTTGACCAAAAAAAAAAAAAACAAGCAGTCTCAAGGGATAAGTATGATGCCACTTAAGAAAAATTATCAAACACCAAAATAATAGTATATAGTAGAAATGTTTACATATGAAATAATATTATAACCAGCATGATTGAAGATATACACTAAATCTGGATAAAGGGCAACACTGAGAAGAAAAAAAGTGAATGGCATAGAGTATGGGTTTTTTACCATGCCTACGTCTTTTTATTTCTTTTTTAACAAGCATTCTGAATAAGTAATATTTGTTAAACTTGAGTGTTAAATACAAAGGTTTTTATTATGTCCTTCTCTATAACTTTTTATATATTCAAAAATTTCAAACTTGTATACGATAAAGGAATAAGACATTGTGTCTGACTTTTTCATTTGATATATGCATGAGTTTCATCCATATTTTGTGTATATTATTATTTTAAGTATTATTGTCTTTTCTTTATTCAATTGTATATTTATAATTTAATATTATAATATTTAATTGTATAACTATATCACAACTTTTTATCCATTTTTCTCTAACCAAATATTGGAAATATTTCTGATTTCTGATGATTACAAAACGATGCTGCTATAAACATTCTTACACATATCTTTTGGTGCTTTTGCTAATTTCATGGAACATACATTCAACTTCAGTCAATATGGCCACATAATTTACAAAGGTATACTCTAAAACAGCTGTACATGAGAAATCCAGTTATTCCTTATCCTTCTCAATATTTGGTAATTTTTTTTATTTTAACAGTTTCAATGTTGTGAAGTTTTAAAATGCTTTTTTCTAGTGACCAATGAAATTGAGCACTTTTTTACACATATATTGGTCATTGAAATTTTTTCTTTCTTAGACTGCCAGTTTCAGTTTTTGACTCATTTTTCTAACGGGGCATCTACTTATTCCTTATTGATATTTATATGTTCTAGACTCTTTGTACAAAGTTCACAAACAAGAAGAACATATCAGTTTTATTTTTTAAAATATTTTAATTTTAAATAAATTTACTTACTCTTAGACAGACACATACAAACACCACGCACAAAATAATTGGCCAGATGTGGAGAAGTGGTTAGTCATGGATAGAATATCAGAGCTTTGGGTACTTGATGACATATAGTCTACTAGAAACTCCTCAAATGACTCCAGGTTCCTGTGGTGACAGGACAAGCTGATTTTCAGGGGCTGACTTCATGGGATGTCACCAACGCCATAGACTAGGGCCTTGATGCGGGTCCCTGCCACTGCGCTGATCATCAGTAATTGAAATGACTGGAATTAAAAACAAGGTGGTACCCTTCCCTATTTCTGTAGATTTTCCGAAACTTTGTTTTCTGCTGTGGCGCAATGAGAAGAGGGAACAAATCTGAAAATTTGCCCATAACGAGCTTAGTGCTATTCTCAAGGTATGAATTTTGAGGTTAATGGTAATGTGATTTATAGTT